TGAATATAGTGGCCGACCGAAACAGGTTTTTCGAAACCGAACTTTCGGCTCTTGTTTCAGTTTCGGCCGAAACCGAAACTCAAAGTCTCATTTTAAAATTTCGACTGTATACTGAAATCTAGTATACTTTTAGCCCTTTATCTGCTTATACCTACGTACCACCTAAAACCACTGTAATAAGGTAGTCACACGGCATCAATTCAAAATAAGAGAAATTGTATTCAGGTAGGTAGAATTATTGCAAAAAAAAAAACGTACCTAGTTACTAAATACGAGAATTGCACTTAATTAACTAGGTACCTCACGGGATAGGCGGGAAAGGACGGCCGAAGTGGCTAGGATATTTTAAACGGACTATACGCGTTTTCTCATAGTTATAGTTAAGCAACTGAAGATTACACGTATTATGAGTTTTTTTGGATAGTTGAGAATGGTAAAATAGGGGTACAGAATGTAATGCAACAATAAATGACTATCTACAAACAAATAAATCTAATGATCGTATCAACAAACAAATCTAATTACAAAATGGTTCCTCAAAACTCAAAAAAGTTTAGTTTTCGCCTCATAATCTACACTCAAGAGTTTCTTGAGTTTTGAGAAACGTTCTGTAATACGGCTTAAGTAATATCTGAACCGAACATAATCTCTTTTTCTTCAAAACTCGACAAAACGAAGCTCTATACATAATAATCGCCTTTGAGACAAAACAATATATAATAATATTGGTAAATATAATAATATTGGTAACAAGTAAAAAAGAAACCAATACAAAATTAAAACATAAGTAAAACACAGCTTACAAGATGGGTCGTGGGAGAGCCATGCCTGGGCACATATAAACCAGGCTTAACGGGAGAGATTTCACAGCCTCAAAGAAAACCGTTAAGCAGTTCTTTCTTTGCTTTTCACCGAGTGAGAGAGGTTACCGAAGCCCAAACACTTTTACCCTGATTCCCAAGGGAGGGACTGAAAGGGCGGCAATGCCCTAGTGACTTAACTTGCAGGTGTCCATGGGCGGTGGTAGTCACTTACCATCACTCGACCTGTCTGGTCGCTTGCCCCCAAACCCCATAAAAAAAGATCGCACTGGACGGCGGCGAACTGAGCCAGTGTTAACTGTTACCGATCTGTTAACCGAATGACGCACAACACTTCTCGAACACTGAAATTCGGCGCGTCTAAGAGTTTCGTCCAATTTTAACTAGATATTTTGGCCGAAACTGACCGAAACTGAAACTTTGGTCGGTCACTACTTAAATACATCATGCCATTTAAAAAAAACTTAACAAGGTTTTGAAATTGAAATAATTTACTATATTTATTTAATGCCAAATCAAACTATACTATATAAAAATATTTTGTTGTTTTTATCCTTAATTTGATATTATTTACACTTTTTCCTTCTAATGATCTCATCAGTAACAGCATCATATTCTAAATATACAAAAATCTTCAAAACAACTAGATCATACCACATTCTTGGGATAACAAAACCATTTTATCAAACTCATATATCACGAATTAAATTCAGATTCCGACCGAAAATGCCAAATTCCTTTAGAAAAAAAACTCAATCCGCAAAAATAAGTATCTTCTTTTTATTGTTGAGAGCTTTGGTGGCGCCTCATTTAGTTAAATATATATTTATTTATGAATGTAATAAAAAAGTGGCGTCCACATTCTTGCATTATTGACTAGAAGTCAGACTTGGGGAAAAAACATGTAGGTATAACATATTACTTTGAGTTCCTTTTGAGGTGATATGCAGATCTTTGTATAGGTAGTTTGATATTTGATTAGATATATGAATACCACGGCCTCACAGAAAACCGGTGTTAAACAATTGTTTCGTGACTTTCATCGAGTGAGTGAGGCTACTAGAGCCCAAACCCCTTCACCTCCTGATTCTGAGGAAGGATTCAAAGGACGGCAACGCATTTGAGGCTCTTGAGTTGCAGGCGTCTGCATCTGCTCGTTTGCCCTCGTATACCATATAAAAATATGTGCACACCAGTTTAGCTAACAAGATTATATATTATAATATACCAACGATTCATCAAAAAATGGCGTGAGAGGTCTATGGACCCCGATCGGAATGAAGTTTGTAACTTTAGCCATAAGTGTCGGAAAAAAGTCTTGTTACACATTTTTCAGTCTCGCTCCCATCAGGTTCCTTCTATCTGGCAGAATCTTGATGCTCCGAAATTTATTTCGCATAACACACTTGGCAGATACTTCTTTAAACGAATATGTTTAAGGCATAAAAAATCTTGAGTATAATTAATGTTGTATCTCCGAATTTGCAATGGCATACTTTTAAGATGGCATAATTTTATTTTTGGCAGAGTTAAAATTCCGCATAATTTCGTTTAGCATAACGTTTATTTAGAGCGACGATTATTTGGTACAATTTCACTTGGCACACTATAAAGATGGCAGAATTTCACTTGGAATAATTTTTTTAGGCATATTGCCATAAAAAAAGCATTTTTAACCTTAAATTAAAATATTATCTTAAAAAGTCATGTCTTAGTCCGGTTTCGACTCAAAAGTTTGTGACAGAAATGAATCGCCGCAAAACCGACTCCACGTAGTCTTGTCTGCCCTACCCCTAGAGTGTAATTTAGGGCCGCGTAGGCGTGGAGGGGCAAGGCGGCCCGCGAGCTGAGAATTAGCTGGTTTCGTTGAACGTTGAATTCATCTGCGACGATAGACTCGCGTGGGACCGCCAGAGCTCCGCAGCGCTGGAGCCGTGACAGATATGCTGCATGCTTGCCTGTATTCCTGCTTGTATGTTGCGTGCTTGCCTGCATGAATGGTATATGCTTGTTTGCGAGCTTTTTATAGGGAAATAAAAAACAAATCCATTGCAAAAAATCTATGTGTTCAATCAATCAATTTTAATTTTATGGTAAGTAATACAAAATGATGGATAGATAGTCTTTCAATTATTATAGATATGAAATATGTATATGCCAAAAGGTGATTCTCACTGTAAACTTTCTGAGATATGATAGTTCTGCCTTTTAATGATCGATATAAAATTTATTCTCAAAGACGATTCTGACTATGAACGTTCGGCGATATGATTGTTCTACTTTTTAATTATTATGGATATGAAGTTTATGCCTTAAGATGATTATGACTTACAGAATTATGAGTTTTGGATGTATGATAAATGAGTGTCTGCCAAACGATTTTTTGCGAAATGTAGTTTATGCTATCCGTTGTTATGCAAAAAAAATTGGTTGCCTGTAAAGTCGGTATACGGGCGAAAGTTTTACGTGACAACGACTATGTCTGTCTCTCTCGCTCTTAGGCGGGCTAACCATGCCCGATTGGAAGGGACGCGTGCCTCTCACTCGCTCTCATTGTGAGCGCATAACGTGAGCGGAGCGTAATGCAGTTTCTTGAAGTGTCACCCGGCAAACCAATTTATAAGACGTTGTCACGTCAAAAATATTATGACATAAAAAGTTCTGCTATAAAGGAGGCACCCCTCCCATCCGCTCAAAGCGTGTAACGCGATATAAGGAACTTCGGTCCAATAATGTAAGTTACGTCTAACACATGTTTATGTCTAGGTAGTTCCGTATTTATTGTTACATTAACAAGAAGTCGATAATTAAAATTAGTAATCGTTAGTTTTATTGGTTATGGTTAATGAACAATGTAAATATAATTGTCGATGATATGACTAACACCGGCAATGCATATCACTATTCAGTTGACTTTAAGTAATACAAAAATGGTGTGTTTACGAGTATGAACATAAATGCCGAAGATGGGTTTTGCTTTTCTTCGAAAATACGATAGTAATTAATGAGTGTTTTGGGAATTTTAGTAGGAGTTTCTAGTATCTTACGTAGTTTGAATGCAATATGAAACTAGACATTACATAGTAAACGAACCAAAGTTATCATCATAAACGATTCAATGCACCAACTGATCAATTTTATTTTTTTTATTATTCCACAGTCTAACTGTCTGCACCGAGAACAATTTGTCAGTAAATTGTGTGGTAAGATTGGGCATTTACAACTTCATAATAATAATGTTGAAAAGAAAAATTAAAATTGCAAAAATAAATTATAAATTTAATGGCAGATAGATTTCTTATCATTATAAAAAAAATAGTAGGATAATTTTTGATCGTTTAGAGCCAATACTTCAATATTGTCCACTATGTGGAACGTGTGTCACCACTCCTATTCAACTTGTGGGTGTCGTAAGAGCCGAATAAGGGAGCAAACTACGTAGGACAGCATCACTGCAAAGGGAAGGAAAACTGGACACAAACCTAGTAACAACCCGTCTGGTCAGCGCGGTATAGTAGGAGAGGCCTATGTCCAGCAGTCGACTATTAGAGGCTGTTGATGATGATGATGATGTGGATTAAATGAATTCTGTAAAACATTATCTAAGCTCTTAATATTATTAATACATTGAAAGCCACCCGGGTATGCAACCTCAATATATCTAAACACATTTACATCTAATTACATAAAACATCTGTGACATCATTGACATTCATAATAAAATTGCCACATAAAATTTAACGCGATACTTATCGTCAGATGTAGGTATTTAAAGCTAATAAAATCCATACTACTATTCTGTATTACCAGTTATTTACCAAATATCATTAAAAGATGATTGACGCATACAATTTATGTATGTGGCGTGGCAATCATAATTTAGATCATCACAATTTTATAAGACATGAAAAAATTAAGTTAGCAATGTCCACATTACATAAAGGCTTCTCTTTTGGAATAAAATTAAATGATTGTGCTTATCACCGTTAGTAATTATTTGACTAATGCATTCTTCAATTGTGCATAATAATGTGTATGTGCAAACTTGGTAGAAAAAAGGTTCATTATTTTTTCTGTAATACTCGTATTACGTTATTATTATTATTAACTGTAATTAATCCAAATTATTATTGTCATAGCAATCTTATTTTTAAAAACACAACCAAATTTCTTTTTCAGGAGCTCCATCATCATTTGATGATATTGTTGAAGCAGCGAAGTCTGGAAACTGGGAAATATTTCAGTCACTGTAAGAATCTAATTGATATCAACCTCTTCTTTAACAGATAAGCAAACTGACAAGTCTTACCACGTTTAGTATAATGCTGTCAAACGCTAGTGGATCTTAATTCTTTGCTTTTTTATCTATTTGCCAGATCTAAACTGTAAGCTTAAACAAAACACTACGCTCTTAGTATTATCTAACATTCAGCCGCCGATGGGGCTGCAGGCTGCCAGAGAGCTGGTTACTCTGGTGGCAGATTGATTACTGCAGTTAGGGACATAGGGGTGGCCAGACTGCACCAAAATGTGATCGGGCTCCTAGATTAATGACAGGCGGGGGGTAGCTTCTGGCTTTCCTGGGGATAAGGCCTAATAGGTGCGGCGGCGATAATAGGGGGACCTGAAATTACAAAAGCCGGGTCCTCCCCAGAGTAGGGTGCCTGAGGCCGATTGTCGGGGTGGTTTTTGGTGGTAATACCATATACTCCTGGCTGGTCAACAAAAAAAAACCTAACATAAAATAAAGCTCAGATCTCGGATTGTGTACTAATAGGTCTATGCTAACACTTACTAAAACATCTATGTACCCAGGAATGTGACCAGATAGTTAATAAAATCTAGTTTTACTAAACAATTCTTCCTTTATCCTTATTTTCGTATCAGAGATTCATTTGATGCCGTACTTGTATTATCTATAATATAATTTTAAAGTTCTCTATTTGTTCGCAGTTTAAACGCAAACCTTGCCAGCAATCCGGAGTGGAAAGTAAGTATAAAACTATACCTTTATCCTTTTAAATACTGATATAAGTTTCTGACTAGGTAACATTAAACATCGCTTAGGAGGCTACTTCGTTAATAATGCAAACTACTTCATTAATTTACATAGTATATTTATTAAAACTTTAATTTAAAGACAATAGACTCATAAGTTTATTACTGTCTTCCTTATAAAAAATGACATATTTATAATTCTCGTCAAAATAATATTTTATTTCATCAACCTTGTTTAGACTTGTAAAAGTCATTCCAGGTGTAGTATACGAGTATTTGCATAGTAAATTTGTTTATTTTTCATTGGAAATATATTAAATAGTGGGCAATTACACTCTAGACACCATACGCACATTTTTCACATATTACTAAAAACAATTGTTACTAGATGGACAAATAACATTCGTGTAACATTGTTTGGACTAGTTAGTTATGGATTGCGCTCGTCTCTGGTCAACCGGCAATGCATTCCATAAAGGCACAGTATGCTCAGTGAACGCTTTTCCCGCAGGTTTTATTTTATTTGTATTTAATCAATATTATTTAATATTTTCAGCCTGTGGATTTTCACAGCATCAAAGAGTTGAAGCCACCACAAGGCGGTCAGGTGTATGGTGAAGCTGAATACACTTTCCAGTCTTCATCAGACTTTGACGGCCAAAAGACTGAAGAGAGGGGTGGTCATAAAATCATTAACAATAACGGAAAGGTCAAGGAATTTGATTTCCAACCTTAAGTTACGTCTACGGTCGATTACGAAATCGGAGTAAAGAGTTAATGATTTGTCCGGGTGCTATTTGTGGAAAAAAAACTGTATAATATATTGGTGTTAATACCTCTCTACTCGACTTAATACCAAGGACACATAAAAAGGAAATTCCATGAAGTAACACATTATAAACAATATGTTTTAAATTAACATTTTTATATTTAAACCAAAAAAATATATTATGACAAATTCCTTTCATATTTTTATTTGTGAAAAAGTGTGAAATACTAAATTTGTATTGCGATATAAGAACTTACTAAAAGAAATTCCATACGGAAACGGCCCTGAACCTTTTTGGCTTTTATCTATTGTTAACAGGTTTTCTTTTGTAATTGACAATATGGATGAATTTGCAAGTTTCTGCAATAGATAAAATTGACAAATGATTCCATAAATTGTATAAATTATTATTAATACCTTGTCAACTTCTTGTTTAAATTTGTTTTATTTTTCATTACTTGAAAATGTATGCAAATAGATCACAATCGATTTGAATGTAAAATCTCTATTAAATATTTTATTCTAGTATTGGCATCAATACATAATGAATTGATGAATTAAATTGAGGTGAGTTCCAAAATAAATTCATCCAACAAAACTAAGTTAAAAAATAAATAGTTCGAATCAAAGGAATTTTTAACTACTAATAATTATAAAAAAAAACCTTTGATAGTTCAGTTTAACTTAAGTGCTTATATATTATGTTATAATAGTATTTTGCATGGTATTCTTTATATCATAAAGTACAGTATGACACTAAGTTATATTAAATAGTGATCAAAAATCATTATTTGAATTTGAAATCAAATTTATTTTTTTGGCAATGAGATTATGTTAAAAAGTTAAGAGTCGGTGATAGTCTGTGATTGTTTAGTAAAGCTATGTTTAAATATAGTATTTTACTTTTATTTTCTTACCTTTTCTTTGTGTAAACAATGTCTATGCAAGTGTGTGTGCCACCACGGTCGCATAGAAAACCGGTGTTCACCAGTTCTTTCGTTGCATTTAAACTTTTTGAAGTTACCGGAGCTCAAACCTCACCTCCTCCTGATTCTAGGGAGGAGGTCCAAAAGGCGGCAACTCTTGAGTTGTAGGTGTTCAACGGCGGCGATAGGCACTTACCATAAGGGGACCCGTCTGCTTATTGCCTGTGCTATAAAAAACGTAACATAATATAACACACTAGCTGACCCGCGCAACTTCGTCTGCGTCTCTCAATAGTAATAAATTTTCTCCGTTTTTGAAACATTCTTCATTGGTGCTCCGCTCCCATCGGTCTTAGCGTGATGATATATAGCCTATAGCCTTCCTCGATAAATGGGTTATCTAACACTGAAAGAATTTTTCAAATCGGACCAATAGTTCCTGAGATTAGCGCGTTCAAACAAACAAACAAACAAACAAACTCTTCAGCTTTATAATATTAGTAATGATTTTAACAACTCCTTACATTATATGAGTTGATGACAAGGAATTAAATTTGATGACACGCCTGCAATAAATGTTATACTATTGACTAGTTGGATCACGTGACCGTAATTTTCAGGCGCTCGATCTCAAGTCCAAGCGCAAATATTGTATGCAAATTTTACAAAACAAAAAAGACGAAAATTTTTAGTTATGAACATTTGAATCGTCATCATTAAATCAACCGATTGTATGAATTTTAAATTCAAATTCATTTATAATTATGTATATAGCGAGAAATCTATGGTGGTAATCTTGAACCTCAGAATCCGGCGTAATGTAAATAGAAATCTGAGCTCAGAATGTGACTACTTCTTTCAAAAAGTGCCGAGATTGCAAGTTTTTCTTTCCACAGAACGTGAACACATGCAATGCATGTTAAAATGTTACTAGCGTTTTGGAGGCTGGGTATAGTTAAGCGCTCTTGAATACACTTAATTTAAATTATATCGTTTTCTTTAATTAGTAACCTGTATCTTCTATCCTAACAACGGAAAAGGTAGACGAAAATATTCAAAGCTTACATATAAAATAATATGGTAAATAGGCTTAAAAACATTATTTTACGTTGAGACGATAAAAACGATGTGAGTTTTAGCAGGTACATCCTTCATAAGTCAGCATGATTCATGGCATAGAAGTGTTTAATCGTGAGGCACGATCACATTAATAATATACCTGTAACGTCCATCTAGTAGATGCATATACCTATTACCTACATCATTATATAGTCAAGGATAACGATTACTCGTACTCAAAAAAATAAAACAAATAAAACGCACCCATGCGAAAACGTAGAACGAAATTCATTTTTTTTGTTTTGGGATTTCCGAAGCTCAATATTGTTTTCTTTTATTTAATCCTTCTTTTTAGGCTTTATTTGTGTCTATGGTAAATCAAGAAAAAAAACTGAAGTATTTTATATTAACATACGAACATATATCTGTTTCCCTTTTTAATTTTAATTTATGATGAAGAAAGAAGCAGAACTGAAAGAATCAAGACCGAATTCATTGCCATTATTATTATTTCAAGTCAAACAGAAACATCATCAACAGCCTTTAACAGTCCACTGTTGGACATGGGCTCTCCTTAGAAAGGAGGTTTTGGCCTGCTAAACCATGCTGGCCAGACGCGTTGGTATAGGGATTGTTTCAAGGTTTCCTTCTCTTTGTAGTGCTGTTTTCCTACGTAGTTAGCTCCCTTAGTCTTACGACACCTATGGGATGAACCGGGGTGGTGACACTCCGTATTCTTAACGAACAAAATGTTGACCCAGGAAAAATAATTAGTCTGGTTGTGATTTTTCTGTAATATGTATATATTTAGAAATATATAAGTATGTTTATCAGCAGTCAGGTTACCAAAGTGCAGGCCCTGCCTATTTAAGGATCAGATGGCGGTGTGTAAGATGTGTTGTGTTATTTCTTTAATCATTTGATGTGTTAGTTATTAAAGACTTCGGCTGTGAATGTTAAAATAGAATAGTGTATATACTTTATACGCAGGTAAGGTAATGCAAGAAAGTAGAACATTCAAAAGTCGCTTTAACTAAAATATGGCTTACACAATAAGTCATATTCTCTTGTTGTTCTTGTTCAGAAGTCTCCAAGATTTCGCAAATTCTTTCTAAAATAGGAAAGAAACATCTTTAAGTATTCTAAAAGATATTTTAATACTGATTTTTATTTAAATCGTACAATTTATTAAAGGTAAAAACAATTCTTTATTTATACCTAACGTAAAACAACAGCTTGCTAATGTTAAAAAACCAGGCGCAAGAGTTTTCTGGAATTAAACTTAAAATTATAATCTTGTTTTTAAATTATTGTAATTTAAATCAAAGTAAACATGAACCAAAATTGCGTAAATCAAAATTTATAGTAATTTATGTTTAGGTATTTAGTACTCTTTACTTTAATTTCTAATTATGACATGGTGGTTAAACAGCAAACCATCATAAAATAGCAAAACATTTAAATGCTAAATCATTTTTATTTTATCATTAAGTTGTATATGTTAGATATGAATTAAATTTTATTTTTCTTATTACGGGCCTGTTGGTTTAGTGGTTAGTGATCCTGACTGCTAAGCCTTAGGTCGTGGGGTCGATCCCACCCAGAACAAATAATTGTGTGATAAGCACGATTATTTGATCTGTGTCTGGGTGTAATTTATCTATGTATATGTATTAAGAAATATATAAATATAAAGGATGTTTTTTTAGATGCGGAGAACTTTAAATTGAAATAAATAACAGAAAAATGTTCATAAAAATAATGAAATGGGCTTTGAGAGATGATTTTATGACATTAATCAACTTAAATTAAATTAAATTAACGTTTATTTCAGTAAATTAATCGTATCGTGCGCTGTGTGGCATATGGCACCGTTCTAGTGAATCCACATGTCTGCCACATTAATGCCATCCAATTGAGGCACAAAAAAGTTTGTAATCATGTCTCTGTCCCGCTCACCATTGACTGTAACGTTTTGGCCATCATCATTTTAAAGACATGGACCAAAGATTCCTTGGGCCCATAAAGCGCACCAATCAGTAACTTTTTCTGGATGTAACGGCGTTTCGACAATGGCTTGTGGATTTTCATCGCTCCAAATGCGGCAATTCTGTTTATTGACCAAACCAAAAGTGTGCTTCATCACTGAACAAAATTTTCAAATGAAAGTGTCGATCAATAGCAATATTTCCTTCAGCCCATTCACTGAATAGACGGCGCAAACGATGATCGTGTGGCTTCAATTCCTGCACAAGTTGAATCTTGTAAGCACGTAATCCGAGGTCTTTACGCAAAATTTTCCATAAAGTGGATGGACACAAGTTTAATTTTTGAGCCCGATGACGAATCGACGCATTTGGATCATCATCAACACTGCGCTGCACCCTATCAATCGCTCTGATGGACGATTATGAGCACCATATAATGCACGTAATGCTCGATGAGTTTCTTAAACCGAACCGTGTTTTTCAAAATAATTTTGAACAATTTTACTGCACGGATGGCGTAGTGGTTTAAGCGGTCGCCACGCCGCTTACTACTACGCTGAGTGTTGTGGGTTCGATCCTCACATGGGACGACACTTTGTGTGATCCTGGGTATGAGTCTGGGTATTCTTTGTGTCCGTTTGTGTGTGTGAGATGTATGATGATATTATTATTATTATATGTTCTATCATGATGTAGCGCTGTTTGCCATAATTCTGACTAGGTTATTTGAATAGGCTCTGATATCAGTTACGAACGAAGTAAATCGCCACGAATATTATCACTTAGAGTGCCTATAAGTGCGTATAGTTGCACACATACAAACACTAGGACAACGTTTACATAATGTATTTACTAGTCTACGCCACGTTATCAACTTATATCTCACCTATTTGACCCCACCAGAACAACTAACCTTCACCTTAGATATTCACATCATAAATAGTATGATAAATATACAAAATGACATACATATGTTGTACTAAGATCAAAGAAG